TTCAAGTGGTTCCGGGGTCGCATCAGATGGTCCCGAGGTGATTGCTGCCAGATGACGCCTTGGATTTTAGCTGGCCCCGAGGATGTCCTGGCTGGCGCCATGCAGCATCATTCCGCTGCTGCCAGGTTCGCTCGGCGCCAGCAGATTCGAGAGTCGGCGAGGCGAGCTCTTGCCAGCCAGGTCGGCGAGTCGGCGAGTCGCTTGTCCCAAGCCAACCGAGCACGCGTGCATTCTGACAAGGTTTTCGATCCAGGCGAGTGGGTGCACGTCTGGAGGCGAGTCACTGCCGCCAATTCGCTTTCGCTCGCTCCAGCGGCGCCGGTGGACAGGGCCCGGGGCGGTCGTTTACCGGGCGGGGGGCGCGATGTGGATGGCCATGAGATCCAAGTTGTAACAGTGCTCAGAAAAACAGGCTCGCTTTGCGACGCGACGGGAGTCTCTCGGGGCCGGGCTGCTCGACGTGGCCCGTTTTGACCAACTCAGAGAGATCCGGAATCCGCGCCGCCAGATCGGGGCGGTCGACGCGGCCTCCGAGGGGCCTCCTCCCCCCGAGGCCCGGGGCCGCCCAGGTCCTGCAGCAAAAGCCGAGTCTTCTTCCGCCTCCCGTGTCCTGGCGCCGAACCTGGGCCCGGGGTTCTCTCGGGGCCCGTCGGAGGCTCCTCCGGGGCCAACGGGGGAAGACGGCGCCGCCCTTCCTCTATCCGACTTCTCCTTGCGACGGGGAATTAGCTCCGAGTCGGGCATGGCCCCATGCCTCGGATCTCGATCCCCCTGAGGCCGCAGAGGAACTGCGAGGGCAGATCCGCGCAGCTCAGGTGGTTCCAGCTGCGCGCCCCCGCGCGACCGCGCCCGACTCCGGCCGGAGAAATTCCTCCCGGGCTGTCGCGAGTCACGCGCCCGATTGATGTCGAGTCCGCGTCAGCTGAAGCACCTCCTGATCCCGAACCTTTGCCTATCCGAGTAGATGGTCGGGCTCCGAGTGCGAGCTCGGTATCTTTTCCCAGGGCTAGGCGACCCGCACTTTTCCCGACACCTCCTGGGCTCGGCCCATGCCGGGCCCACGAGGAAATCGTCTCTGTGTGAATCCCCGAGGGTGGAAGTACAGGAGGGGATGTCTCGCTGGCTGACTGGGCGGAGCCCAGCGATTTTGAAGACTCTCTTCTGCTTGAGGGAATATGTGTTTCGTCTCTTGTTCCCGGCGCGCAAGACCCGTTCACTTCCCTCGCGAGGAACCTGGCGGTTTCTCAGGGGCCGCCGAGGTCAAGCCCGACAATCCCTGGGAAGCCGAAGTGGTTCTGAAGAAGTTGACCCCAGAGGTCCGGGCTCAAATTGTTTTTTTCGGACCGGGCCGAATGGGGGGCTATTCTATTTTCGGAGGCCCCGAAGGTTCCGTTGCTCGGTGAGTCGAGGAGCGTGCGAATACGTTTCCCCGATCGTATTTTGTCATCAATGATGGCTCGGCGCTTCAAACCAACCGAACCCTGACGCTGAGTCCCTTGCTGTATACGCACCCACCCCACAGTCGGAGTCAATTTTGGTTGCGTGTCCAATAATATCCTCTTTGATTGAAAACTTGCTGTGCCCGATGCTAAGAATGTTTCTGCCAAAGCAACCGTATGGCGGGACCCAATGGCACGTTCTACGTGGAGCCACTTTCCCGACTGGAGCTTCAGCCTGACCAGCTCATTGAGCTGATAGCTCTTGTGTGCGGCCTGAATGATGCTCCTTTGCAGTGGCGCCAGACTTCGACCAGATGTTTGGAATCGTCGGGGTTTAAAACATGCCGACTGGAACAATGTCTGCGGCTGGAGAGGATGTCTGATGGGGCCCTGGAATCCCTTGTGCTCATTGCGGTCGACGGTTTGATTGTGGCCTGGAACGCTCGTTCATGACATCTCTCAGGTCCACCCTCTGCGAGCGTCCGAAGTCTGGCAAGGAAAGACGGTGACTCTGAGTACGCCGGCCGCCGTATCAACCAGTACCGTGAACGACGGACATCATGCATCTCGACCGTGAACGACGGGCATGCCCCGACCCTCCACTAACGCGCGAGGATATCAGTTCGTTCAGGACTGTTGTTGTTTAGGTGCATTGTTGGCAGCGGTCCTTCCAGAATCAACCGTGGCCAATGCCCTTGCACTAAGAAGTATCTGCCAGCGTTAACACCAAATAGATCGGAGGACAGGAGAAGGACGAGAGGAGGATGGGCGGAGGACGGGAGCAGGACGGGAGGAGCACAATCAAGCAAACGCAAGCAAGCAAGCGGAAGCAAGCAAGCGCAAGCGAGCAATAACAAGCAAGCAAGAGCCAGCGACCAAGTGCAAGCAGGCATGGGCAAGCAAGAGCCAGCAAGCGATAGCAAGCACGTAGGAGTAAGCAAGCAAGAGCACGCAAGAGCAATCAAGGGCAAGCGACCCATAGGAATCCATAGGGACCTGTAGGACTCGCCACTGGAAATAGCTGGGGGGGGGGGGGGGCATTGGAAATAAGGGGGGCTGCCATTGGCAGAAAGGGGGCCGGGGTGGAGGGGGGTGCCATTGAAAATAAGGTGGGGCGCCATTTGAAATAGGGGGGGAGGGGGGGATAAAGACCAATTACGTATGATGAGCCAGGTTTCCTATAGGGCAAGCCTATTTGGAGAATGGGTATAGGCATAGGCATAGGCATAGGCGTAGGCATGGGAGTTAGGGGCAGGCATAGGCATAGGCATAGGCATAGGCATAGGCATAGGAAATTCGGGGGGGGGCATAGGAATCAAGGGGTGGGGAACAACGGATCAATTACTAGGGTTTGAGTTCGAATTCCTAGGGCAAGCCTATTTGGAGAAAAACGTGTAAGTACCTTCGAGGATCAGCTGAGCAAACTCTGACCATCGGGTCTCTCGATCCCGTCTCTCTCGTGCTTGTTTCGGCCAGAGATGCGGGGGGGTCGGGTCCGCTCGTCGTGGCGGGGCTCAGGGGGCCTGGCTGGCGACGGCGTCGGACGCCGCAGTGAGAGCCAATCGGCACGCCCAGGTCAGTGTCCTCGCTTGGAGGTCCCAGCATTTAAAGCGTGCTGTTTCCCGCACAGTGGCTGCTGAGACCTTAGCGCAGACTGAAGCTACCCTAGGAGGCTCAGTCGATGCAAGGACTTTGGCGTAATGCTGATTTCGGATATGTTTTCCGCCCGAACTGAATCGATCGGGCCGGAGCTCCCTTCTCGGTCATGCTCTCGTCTCAGTGCAAGTTCGGTGAGGCTGCCTAAGGGCTGTCGGTGGTGGGCGCCAAATCAGTGCTCGATACGCTCTCGCGTAGCTCTGCCGGTTCTCGTGCCGATCGCCGCAACGCGGCAGAGCTCGCGATGGTCAGAGACTCCCCGCCGTCGGCGGGGCCCTGGGTCCGGCGGGTGCCGCACGGGCGCGTGCCTGCGGACCCAGTCGCGAAGATGGACCTTGGTCGCGGGATCTTGGCTCTTCATGTTCTCCTGTACAGAGGATGGCTCATTGTGGTGGATGAACACGGCCCTGTGGGTCAGAGGCCACTCCACGAGCCGCTTCAGTCCCGTTCTCGTGGAGCCAGTGTTCGTGCCGTCGAGGAAGCTGCTGCGCCCGGGGAAGATCAGTGCGATCTGATAGGTTTAGTTCCTCGGGCGTATGATGCCGTGGTTTCAATGCAACGCCCGATGTCGAGTGTTTTAGTTGCTTTCACCCACGAAGGTGAGGAGGCTCGATTCGGGGGGCCTTGTTATTTTGGTGCCGCTCCATCGGGGAGTGAACGGAGGCTGCGGGTTTATGTAAATGGGGCCTTCCAGAACGGACTCGGTCACCTCTTCTCTTTTCTCTTTTCCTTTCCGCCTGCCCCCTTTTGCCCAGAGATGCGCCCACACCTTACGGTCCAAGGGCGACACCCCGTTCTCGCGCGACCATGCCAGATGCGGGAGAGAAGGAGGAGACGATGGGGAGATAGGAGGGCTTAGAAGGGCTTCGGTCCGCGAAAGTTTGGCCCGATGTCCCCCGAACCCATGTGTTGGTCTTCGGGGGTCTCTCCCTCTCTTTCCCTTCGTCCCTCCGCCCTGTCTCTTTGTTGTGGTACAGCCACTTTGGCTTAGTTGACATGAGCTCGTATTTCCGCGCCGAGCCCCGAAAACGCCTCGTTTCCGCCCAGAAGGGTCTCTTATGCCGCCTCCTTTAGAGACAACGCCCCTCCCCCAGCCGCCGCCTACCACCTACCACCTCCCTTCGTATATGTCCCTCCTCCCGGTCATTTTCCTAATTGAGTTTCTCTCCCCTTCTCTTTCTGCGGCAGCGCCGTGAGTTCTAGTGCGAGGATCGGTCTTGAGGGAAGCGAGGGGCCGCCTGGCCAATTGCTGCCCCCCTCCGTGTCTGGGCGCGGTCCAAAGCGGGTCTGCTCTGCATTGCCGCGGTCCCCGGGTGTCTGTTGCCCTCGGCTTCAGCGGGCCAGGCTTGAATCAGGAGTGGTCTCTCGGCGGTGCGCCTCCTCCTCTTTCTCTTTCTCCTCCTCCTCCTCCTCCTCCTCCTCTTCCTCCTCCTCCTCCTCCCCCTCCTCCTCCCCCTCCTCCTCCTTCTCTTCCTCCTCCTCGTTCTCGGCCTCCTCCTCCTCCTCGTCCTCCTCCTCCTCCTTCTCGTCCTCCTCCTCCTTCTCTCCTCCTCCTCCATCCTCCTCCTCCTCTCTCCTCCTCCTCATCTCCCCTCCTCCTCCTCCTCTCTCCCCTCGTCCTCCTCCTCCTCCTCCTCCTCCTCCTCCTCCTCCTCCTCCTCCTCCTCCTCCCCCTCCTCCTCCCTCCTTCTCCTTCTCCTCCTCGTTCTCGGCCTCCTCCTCCTCGTCCTCGTCCTCCTCCTCCTCCTCGTCCTCCTCCTCCTCCTCCGTCTCTCTCTCCTCCTCCTTCTCCCTTCCTCCTCCTCCTCCTCCTCCTCCTCCTCCTCCTCCTCCTCCTCCTCCTCCTCCTCCTCCTCCTCCCCCCCCTTCTCCCCCTCACCCCCCTCCCCCTTCCACCCCCAGCAGGAGGGCCTTCCAGTGGACGCGCTGCTGCCGGCGAACCTCAGCGTCGTCTGGCTGTTGTCTCAGCCCCCACGGCGGCCCCCCGAAACCCCTGAGGGACAGGCCCGGTTGAGACATCGCGAGGCGTCTTAGGAGGAGGAGGAGGAGGAGGAGGAGGAGGAGGAGGAGGAGGAGGATGGGGATAGAGTGAGGCAGGCTGGATGAGTCGGGTGACGAGGGAGAGAGGAGGACGGGGAGGGGGTGTACCCAGAGGGGGAAGATGGATGAGCCAGTGTCGAGGGAGGAGGGAGGGAGGGAGGGAGCCGAGGGAGGGTAGAGTCGTACGTAGAGGGGGGAGCAGGAGGAAGAGGAGGGATGGTCCCGCCTCCTCTTCCTCTGAAGCCGCCCCCCGCATCATTCGTGCAGTCAGCCCGCGTAGTAAGGATGGGCAACCGTCCCAAGGATACCCTTGCATCCTTGCCTCCTCAGTCCATCCTTGGCCACTTTCGTTGGCCGCGCCCCGCTCGAGAAGCTTCGACATGGGCGTCCAAGGCCCTTGCATCCTTATCGCGCATCCTTATGAAACGAGCCGACTGTACCCCTCCCCCTTCTCGCCGCTGCCTCCTCCTCCTCGACGCCACGGGGAGGTCACCACAGTGTCGCGGCCGAGAGGGGCCGGCGGTGTCTCGACGTGGCCATCTCCCCCCAGGGAGAAAAGTGGATCCCAGACCCCCTCGGGTCATGAAAAAATCACGGCGGTCAGTGTTTTGTGTATTTTCGACCTCTGGGGGCCTTGACCTGCCCTCGGGACAGTCAAAAAAAGGCTCAGGATAAAAACCGAGCCTAGGGAAAGGGTCGAGACCATGGGGCGTCGATGTAAAACAAATCATGACGTCGAGGTCTGGGATGCGGGCGCGCTGTACACGCGATCCTGGAGGCCTCCTCCAGCAGCGGCACGAGGGGGGTGGCAGAGGCGGTCGGGCTCCCGGAGGGGCCATCGCCCCGATCTTCCTGCCCTGCGTACGTCGTGGCAAGAATCAAGATGGATGGGTTTGGGGCTGTTGTCAGCCCTTGCCAGACCCCCGACGTCCTGACTTTTGTCCACAACGTGGGCCCCTCGAGGTCTTGAACAATTCCCCCGTCATCCAGAATAGTTTTGTGGACGGTCCCGAGGCCCGGCGAGGGCCCCCAGAGGCAGAACAGATGGCAGAAACTTCCCCGTCGTGATTGTTCCATGCTCCGTGTGGGGGGGGTTCGGGTTGACCCAAAAGGGGGTCCAGCGACAAGGGGGTGGTGCAATATATTAGGTGCAATAGAACTGTGGGGTTGCAATACAAATTGGGGCGTGCAATACAATTCGGGGCGCAAATGTATGGGTGGATCTTCGCGTGCAGCGCATTACTTGCAAAACAATGCAATCTGATTCTCCGGCGCAATGTACTTGCTATACAAGGGCCCCAAAACTAATGCACCACATCCTTTCAGCTGGACCCTCTTTTGGGTCACCCAAAATGACCCGTGCGGGGGGGGTGGATCCTCCCGCCGATCAAGAGACAGGACAACCTCTCGATCCCTCAGGGGCGGGGCCCTATCTCTGGAGCGCGTCGCGTCGAGCTGTGCAGCGCCAGCCCGCGGGGTGGTCCACTGCCCGCCTCCGGCCCACGGGCCGACAGGAGCATTAAGTCGGGCCTGTCCCTCCACAGGGGGAGTATTCAAAAATTGGCACAACAAAATAGGATATGGGCGCAACATTTGACTAGTTTTGAATATGGTTTGAGCATGTTGTGACTTGTTTGTATTTGTCCTTCCAAATCTCTCTGGGGGGGACCTAACAGAAGCAAGTTCTTGCAACAACAGAGACCAAACTAGGAAGAACTGCATTCTCCGCTCCCTCCACCCCCTGTCCTTACTCGAAGGAGAAAGGCGCCATAAACCGAAACTCTTTGGCGCTCCGCGCGGATTCTTGGATCTGCGCTGGGCCCCCCCGGCGGTGCCTGCGGCGCCGCCCCTGGCGCGCCACGCGCGCCAGGGAGGGGGGTCCGACGCGGGGCAGCAGTTTTTGTTGATGCTGATTATATTACTTCTAGTCTTTACGGTCAGGAACTTTTGCTTCGCGTGTCGCTCCGCCGATTTGTCGGTTGTTGGCTCACCACTCTTCGGCGCGACACGCTGTCCACGCCCCCAGTCCTAAGCATCAGCGTCCCGAGCTGTTCCCAACATCTGGCATCCCGAAAGGCGTAGCGGAGCGACACATTATCATCATGCGAAGGACAAGTTGCTCACCATGACACTGGCAGATATTGTTTTCGTGACGTTTGGTTCACGATTGTTTCCGCCCTGCTTCTCCAGAAACCTCGCTCAATGTTAAGGCCAGGGGCGGAGGGGTGTTACTTGCGAAGCGGTCCCCCACGCCCGTTGCAAATATGTTTCCTTCAGCGGGCGGACCCCCCCTGGACTGGGGTGGGGAGTCGCCGTGGGCCCCAGCCAGTCGAGAGCGGGGGCGGGGCGACCCCCGAGCAGCTCG